GCTAATAATTAAATTTGTACGAAATAAATCATTAATGTTTTTACAATTAAATATTTCACGGTCACACATTGATATGGTTATAATTTTTTATAAAAGTTGATCCAGATAAATTGTTAAAAAAAAAAAATAAATTACACTTGAGAAGAATGTAATAGATGAATTAGGCTCTTTCGCCACGGATACGTCTAGCTAATTGGATGTCTTTAGGCATAATGGTGACACGTTTGGCGTGAATGGCACACAAGTTAGTGTCTTCAAATAAGCCAACCAAGTATGCTTCACTGGCTTCCTGAAATAGAGAAAATTTAGATATTAGAAATTGTATGATATGTTTAATTAGTGAAATGTCAGTAATATCACTTTGTAAATTAATTATTAATCTAAAATGGAACATCAAAACTACTGATTGAAAAGTTATGCAATTATTCAATCTAAATATCTATCTTATTCAATATAAAATAAAATCTATTGAAAGAATTACTAACACAGATTATTAAGACTACTTACAGTAGAGTAAACATATATTATAAATTAAACTTGTAAAACAGCGATAGGTACCTGCAAAGCTCCGATAGCCGCACTTTGGAAACGCAAGTCTGTTTTGAAATCTTGGGCAATTTCTCTGACCAAACGTTGGAAAGGCAATTTTCGAATCAGCAACTCTGTAGACTTTTGATAACGACGAATCTCACGAAGAGCGACAGTACCTGGACGATAACGATGAGGTTTCTTTACTCCACCTGTGGAGGGCGCGCTTTTACGAGCGGCTTTGGTGGCCAACTGTTTACGGGGAGCCTTTCCTCCGGTAGATTTACGAGCGGTTTGCTTAGTACGAGCCATGGTTCAACTGAAACAAATTCAGAAATCAAAGCAACATGACATTGTACCTATTCAAACAAAAATAAAACATCAACACTCAAAGTGGAATGGGACAAGGAGACCAGCACCAGCGTTCTGATGAAAACAGAACATCARGYCAAATTCCCAGCCGGACATGAGAGCATCAAAATCAAAAACCTCCGGCTCGGGYTGACTGGTATTGTTCAGACTAACGTCGMGTTGTGGTGAAAGTTGGAAAATGACGGAAATGCTCGTGRATTGTTTAATTCGCAAATCCAATAATACTTACTACTTGCTACACGTGAACGGTGTCTGGACAAGTCAATATACRAAACGAAGACGCACGGCTACAGAAAAATGATTTTTGTGCAATTCAATAATWATTAATTAACATTAACAAAGCTAAATTAATGTGATAGCGATTACTATATTTGTCTGTCGTTAAGACGACCGACGACACTCGTATAGTCGTATGATCGGCAAGCTGATCAAAGTAACGAGCACGCCGATTGGCCGATACCACAGTTGTCGATAAAACAGACAATAATA